GAGTGGGATTCTGGACTGTTTGTGTTTTCTGATCAGGGTCGGTGAGGGGCGTCTGTCATCTCCCCCCACTTCCCCTAAAGCCACTTGCTGCTGTGGTCTCAGAGGTCTGGCCTCTTACCTGCCTCTACCATAAGGGTTTCAGCTCCGGAGTTCACTGGAACTTTGCTTGGCCAGGAAATGGAAGAGGCAGTTCATCTGGGAAGGGGAAACAGGAAGCTGGGGAGAGTCCAGCAGAGATCACAGGCATGCTATGAAAGGTGAGTAGGAAAGTTTGCCTGTCATTTTTGACTCCCTGAGGAATTGCATAGATGTGCCCTAGGGGTTGGAAGGACATATGCATATATACACAATTTACAACGGCACACTTACACATATACACACATGACACAATGATCCGTCTACGTATACACACACATGACACAATGGCCCGTTTACATATATACACATAAGATACAATGGCACAAATTCCAACCTCACACAAAGATACCTCCTGACCCAGAAACTTCAACTCTAGAAGCTCTCACTTTTCCAATCTTAATATTAACCAAGAAACTCTGGATTTTTTTTTTTTTTAATCATTGCAACTGTTTCAGTCTTAACAGTTTTCCACTGGAGTCCTGCAAGTTCTAGGAGCAAGCCCTAGAGGTCTGAGAGTGGTCAGCATGAACAACCACAACGGTAAAAACACTTGTTACCAATGCTTTCCTTTTTTTCTTCTTATGACATAAGGCACAGCTAGCTTGAGGTTTCTATATACCCTGTTACCTAAAGATACATTTATTTAAAAGAAAAAAATATTTTTAAAATTATCAAATTCTAGGGGAACCAAAATGGTCTGACATTGGACTGCTTATGTAATTTTGGGGGAAATACAAAAATAAAATAATTTTGCCTATGATATATTCTCACATCCTTGGTATACTGAATGGAGGGATATATACTAAATTCCAGTTAAATATTTGCTATTTGAGGGAATAGATCAGTTGAAGAGTCTCCTAACAGGCCCAGCGTCTTAGGTTCCATCCCAGCACCATTTCCTACTTCAACAACACAGTGATTTAACTGCGAATTGTGCTTTCTGCAGCTGGCTGACAGTGGGAACAGAAGGTTCTTCCTGGTCCCGTCTGGAAAGGAGGTCCAGGGCCTTTGCCTTACCTTCCCAAAACTGTGCACAAAGAAGTTCATCTGAGGACAGAGCAGCAGGGCAGAACTACCCATCGCAGCCACAGAGCTAGGAGAAGAGTCCTCCACCTGCCTTTATAGCATGTGTGTGGGCAGAGAGAAAGACGGAATAGAGAGAACGTGGGAGGAAGTGGGGGAAATCGATAAACAGAGACAAAAAAGAGTGATGTGCTCCTATTCCAGGAGTGAAGATCTTGATGAGAACCCCAATTTATCTCCTGTAATACTTTTAGGGTACAGAGGGATGATGCTGTCAAATTCAACACTAGTATTCTAAAGCCTGCAGGTTGAGTTTTATTTATTTAGAGTAAATTCCCATTGTCATACCAGAAAAGAATGCACATTCTACTTCAAAGGAGAGAAAAGTTTTCCTGATGCATCCATTGTTCTGCTGAACTACAGGCATGGTGGCTGGATAATTCTTTGTGGTGTTTTTCAAACCTGGCTTGCTTTTTGCTTTGCAGTAGACAGATCCACACTTGGGTCTGTTACTTCTCAGAGTCACACTGACAGCAGTCAGAGCATATGAGATGTGGGATTAAATTGTTGCTAGCATTAACTACATCTATGTATTCCATGGATGGTATTTCAAAGCAAGAAGGAAACAGAAAATGAGGATTGGACAGAGATTTGGGTTGGTTTAACCTCTGGGGTGAGATTCATTCTTCTCTGTTGGCCGTTTTGCTGTCCCTGTAGTTGGTCTGCCCAAAGCTTGAACTCTCATTAAGGTAAACACTGTCTCCTGGCTTTCTGGATACAGTTTCCATGGCTGTAAGGACTGAAATTACCATCTTTCCAAATTGCTGGTCTCCTCATTGTTCCTCGGCTGGACTGTACTCATTTCAGAGTGTGAGCATTGGCTGTCTGTCACTTTGTATGAATAGAAGTGAATTCGTTAGAACTCAGGAGGCAAGACTGTAGAGTGGGCAAACTGATGGCCAAGTTCAACTCCCAGGTCTGCCATTTCCCAACCAGCCATGTGATGAGTCACTTCTGATGGCCATTCCCCAGTTTCCCTTTCTGGATGTTAGAGGCAGGAGTTGAGTTATCCCCAAAAGCTCTTTAGAATAGTGCCTTGAACACGGTGAGTTCTATATCATGGAGTATCTGCCGTGACGATGGTTGCTGTTATTTTTCTGGTAACATCATCACAGTTTGAACCCCTTTTGGAGATGCACCTGCTTTTGTGATCCTGATCTGACATGCCTTGGGTGGGACTGCCTGCACCTCTCTCCATTTTTAGAATAGGCAGAAAACCATAACTTAGTCCAGCAGTGAATTCCATCCTTCCAGGTGCAGGATGGGAAAATGATGTAAGGTAGTACAATCAGATAGATTATAGGAGTATATAAGTTTGTTTAAAACTACTGGGAAAGAGTTTGTGTGTGTGTGTATGTGTGTGTGTGTGTGTGTGTGTGTGTGTGTGTGTGTGTGTGTGTGTGTGTGTTTATGGGTGTTGGGTGATTAATGGAATAGGATATAAGTGTGCACAGAGAGAAGCAGAGACAAGTGACAGAAAGATGTGGATGGGAAATATCATTCCTCAAGATTACAGTCATGCCTGAGGTCCAGACACTTCTTCTGAATAAATAAATTATATTTGACAATCAGACAAAACATCACCAACTTGTGCTCCCATGTGACATAGTCTGTCTCCTTTACCTATCTAAGTTCAGCTCATCCTCCTAGGCAAAGTGCACCAATGCTCGTCTGTTACAAAGTGGACGCCTCCTTTTCTGTTCTGTAGCTCTGGTCATCTATACTACTTAGCACTCACCATTCACTTGGAAAGCTGACCCTGACCAATGCACTTTTACATCTCTTCAGTGCTATGAACTGACTCTGTGTTTCAGTCTTCAGTCCATGACACTTGCCTGTGTAGTACTTTGCAATAAGCTTACTAGTATTTGTTGTCTGAATTCCTTCTAGCCAGTTCCCATTAAAGTGGATTATAAATCTCAGTACACAAAGGATTCTAAGCATAGAAGGACATGAAGTGAACATCAGAATGGGAAGAATAAAAAAAATAAAGCAGAAAAGGATGTGGACTTGTTGATACGTATTCCACTAGTCTGTAAGGTTCATGAAGAGTGAGGACCGGCTTTCTGTTTTAAACGTAATTCCCAGTGTCCACAGTCTATGGTTGACATATTGTAGTGCTCAGTATAAACTGTTGCACTGTGCTTTGTTTTACAGTGCAGGGGATTCTGATCAATTATCTAACCCTTACCACTACGTAAAAGAAACGAAATGAGAAAGAAATGGCCAGTTATACAAGCCAACACCTTCTTCTCATTATTTTGAGGTCTTTCTACCATCACCTCATTTCTCCAAATTACAAGAGTAAACAAAACCATTCCCCAGGATGACAGATGAGGTGCAATGACAATAGCATGCTTGGAATTTCCAGGTCTGCGAGAAACCCGATATGAATTCCAGATCCTCCACGGAGAGACTTTCCATCACCAGAAAGAGTGAATGGAGGAATAGGAACATTAACTCAGGCCTAGGAAAGGGCACCACACTGGAATGTTGCGTCGACCCATGACGAATTCTGAGATTAGGTACATCTTTTTCTTTAGGTACCTTGTGCAGCGTTAGTTTTGCAACAGCTTTGTGTATCATAAATTGACAAAAATACAAATTACTTCTCTCTTATAACTAATTCTCTTCCCCAGAAAGTATTTATTATCTCTGCCACCAACACAACATCCTCAAGCTATTTATTCATTCATGTCAAAATTACTACTTTTTATTTTTTTTTCTGTCAATGCTGTTCTCCAAAAGGTTCAGTTTGATACTTTACAGCATTGAAATCTAACCTATCTCAGATATCCAAGGTCTTCAATACTTTGACTCCAGTCTACCTTTTCATATGTGAACTTCCCGTTCATTCTCTCATATGCTGGTCTCAGACTCATTCGTCTTTGTCTATTTCCTGCCCGTCTCTCTTGCGCCACAGTTCTATGCTCTGACTCCTTCTCTCTGTCAGTTGAAACGTGTGTTTTGTTTTAAGTAGCATTCTTCACCCTCCCCCATCTGTCGATACGCTGTCCTTTCTCAACTCCTAAGCCATCATAGGCTGCATCATTGGCTGCTCAGCATTTTGGATAAATGTGCTTTATGGCCCTCACTGTGAACTCTTTACAAGCAGAGATCACATCTTGGACTTCTTTGCATTTTGTTCTACATATGGATCATTTCAGCTATGATTATGATAAGAATGCAGGAAATATACAGACATAGCTAGGACTTTTCAGAGTCCATGACTGGGGAAATTTTACCTCTTTTTGGTTGCAATAGTACCCCTTTCTTATACTTGGGAAATATACCTCAAGAGCCCCAGTGGGTACCTAACACCGTGGACAGTATGGAATCATGTACACACTATTTATTCCCACATATCGAGAGACTTGTGAAAAAAATGTAAGTTATGAGTTAGGCATGGTAAGAGATTCAGTAATTAAAAATTATAATAATATGTTTTGATTAAAAGTTATTTGAATACTCTCTTTTGACCTAGAAAATCTTTTTTAATGTGGTATGTACTCAGAATTTTTCTTTATAGTTTTTCATTTAAAGAAAATCCTTTACATCTACTAAAATATAAAACAATGCTCACCTTTACTTAGAATTAAAGACACAAAAATTAAAAATGAGATACAACTTTCATATCCAAGACTAATAAAAAAATATAGTGAATAGTGTGGGCCAAATTGTTAGAAAATAGGAACCTACATTCAATTTAAGTCATTGATTTGGGATACATTTTAAAGATGGGTTTTAACTGTATAGGTGAAAAATTTTAATTTACTTACTCTTATGTAGAAAAAGTAGAGTTTTAGAAGTCTTAACTCTTGTTGTCAAGTTAGTACTAACATCTCTGCTTGGGAAAAGTTCACCGAAGCCTTATCTGTAATAACAAAAGTAGGGAATTAATCTGAGGCTAATAAGAAGCATTAGTGGGTGGGGCCATGAATCCAGGCATAGTAGCTCTTCATTTAGAAATGCATTCATTACTGCTTACTGCCAACTGAACTGTTTAGAGGGTCAAAATCCTCTACAGACTTGTTTCTCCTCCTCCTCTTCTTTTTCACAAGAAGAAAAAGTGGTTTACACTAAGCTACAAGCATTAAACTAGTCAGACAGGACAAAAACTCCCATCCCCTTGAATCTGCATCCATAAAGCACTCTGCCATTTCTCATCTAAGTTTCCAGTTGATACACATTTATTTAACTTGGTCACATCTTGGGAAAAAAGAAGAAAATATGTTCTAATTAATCTTTCAGGGTGTTCTAATAGCTACTCTGTTTTAAAGTATATATATATATTATATATATGATGACTGTTTTATATATTAGATTTATAGGAAACACATCTATTACAGCAGGCTTCCAATGGGTATTTAAGGGGAGACTATGGCAGATATATCCCAGCAATTCAGACTCTCAGAAGTAGCTAAGGGATAGCTCGCCTTATGACAGACCTAAGGGCTACTCTGAGAAGGAGAATGAATGTGTGGACTTGGCCTTTCTCCCAAGAGGAAGCAGAAGCCTCACACAAGACATTCTCTGTAACTCAAAACTTGCGGTTTCATTTCCAGAGCCGGGCACTAGGCTCTGCCCTTGATTCACTGGGACTTGTCGAAGTCTCATCACATCTGTCCAAACATGCAGTCCTCACGATGATAGGACGCAGACACAGGTGCTAAATGCCCGGTCCTCACGATAGGACGCAGACACAGGTGCTAAATGCCCGGTAGACTAAAGGAAGAGTGGTCGCAGGTGCAGTCTTTCAAACTCAATGTTAGGCGCAACAGAGTCCTCATTCTTTCTAGACTTTAGCTCAAGAATGGGTGCTAGATGGGCAAAGCACTGCGTCCAGTTCTATCCCCTGTTCCTGTTTTGTAATTAAATTGGTAGAATTCAAAAGAGAAAACGATAAAGAGGCTTCAAGATTGCACAATTTACTTCTGAAAGTGAAGTTAACTTATCAGCCTGGATTAGTCTGCCCAAACTATGGAAATATGAAAACATCATAAATTAGTCAGATGGCTATGGTGGCAGTCTATTTGCTGGATGCCAGATGTACTTACTATAGAAAAAGCAGGTGGCTTCACAACAGCTGGAAATGTTAAGAACTCATATAATAGACTTTCCTTGCTTTAAGTATCAAGTAGGGTGCTACTTTATTAGGGTTTGCAGTTTAAAAGAAGTGCCTATACTTTAACTTAGACCAAAGATAAGTTTCTCATTTTAGGATTTCAGTGTTCACTTAGGGAACTATAATACCATACAGAACAAATCCTTTATTAAATCAATGCATTCATTACCTAGAATGAAAGTTTTATTCAATCACGGTATTTTGATAGACTAGACTATTGCACACGAGTAAGAGATAATGGATTGAAGACAGTGTCCTTGAAGGAGAGAAGCTCAGACCTTCTTTCATATACATTCCCAGGAGACTGTCAGTTTCCGATGCCATCAAGGCATTGAAAAGGTTGGCAAGGAGCGAGTCAGCCCTATGTGGTATAACAAATCAGTACATGAACCAGCTAACCATGTAACTGGTGAGAGAAAAAAAATGAAATCATTCCTGCTTAAAATCTCTCAGTGTCATCTTTTAACCAATTTAGGGCGATTGGCTCAGTTGCCTTTATGGCAACCCAGCCAGGTGTATGGTACAAGCTCACTAGAAGTCATTGTCAAAGTTAGTAAATCTGGTTTTGCTCTCTGCAGGCTGCACTCACTTAACCTGACTTGTCCATGTCTCTTGCTGCTCAGTAACTGGGGAAAGAGGCAGAAAAACTCTTAGGAGAGATAAGAGAAAGAGTGAGAAGCCTATTAAACAGATATGCACAAACACAATGCAGACTCGGAGAAATATGCTAATAGGTGTTTTCACAGCCTGATTCACTTAAGCAAGAGGGAAATCAAGGCTTATGGGGGTAATCTCACTTTCTCACAACTGCCTAAAATGTTCCTGTGCACCGTCTTCTGACATTCCTTTGTGTTTGGATGCTGAAACCTTCGTTAGCATAGACTAATTTTAGTACCTGTAATAAATAAATCCTAAATTCTTCTGATATTGGGCTATGCTTAAAGACAAGTATATATAGGAGTAAAATATTGATATGCAAATGTTGACATGAGGGTCTTTCATCTAATGGAAGAAGTTACTTACATTTCCATTCCTAGAGATGTTTCCTGCCATCACTGTTTATTTCTTGCAACCGTGTTCTGGATACATACATTGCTACGAAGATCTCTGGGAAATGCTCTTTGGCAGCTGATCTTGGAAATTATGATGAAAAACACCCACTAGCACAAGTTGTATAAAAGATGGTTATGCTACTTCCAGAGCTTGTAGTAGCTATTAGCATTTGTTTATACATGCAAGTGGCACCATCTTGTTGATATAAACTGTTTCTGTTCAAAGTCTGAGGAAGTAAAAGTAATAAGGGGGAGAGAAAAGAACCATGGCTTGCTAAAGCAGAACCAAGTGGGCTGTCTGGCTGTGACATCTGTAACACAGTGATCAACAGGGTTGATTCAGCTGATCTGGCTATCTATGCTGATGTCCCCTTCCTCCCTCACTGCTCCATGGGAGGGACTACTGAAGCTGCTGAATACTGGGTCAAAAAGAACGAACTTCCGGCCGGGCGGTGGTGGCGCACGCCTTTAATCCCAGCACTCGGGAGGCAGAGCCAGGCGGATCTCTGTGAGTTCGAGGCCAGCCTGGGCTACCAAGTGAGTTCCAGGAAAGGCGCAAAGCTACACAGAGAAACCCTGTCTCAAAAAAAAAAAAAAAAAAAAAAAAAAAAGAACGAACTTTCTGGGGTATAAGAGGACTGGTCTTTATTCAAGAATATATGAGCAGTTGTGCTCTCCTGTTCATACCTCTAAAAAAGCTCTCGATATCCATTATGGTGTTTGATTGTTCCCACTTCTAAAAGGGAGAGAAAGCTTTTTGTTGGCAATTTATAATCAACTTTTTCATTCTTTCTGTACATTCAACCACACGAGTAGGAAATCAAAGTACAGCCACCCATTTTCTGAAGCAGCCTGGACCAAAACTTGGACTAGAATCATGCCAAGATCAGCCAATGTGGCATCTACTACAGCTTCCAATGAGAGTTCAGATGTATGTTGAAGTCCACTGGGTTGCACATAATAACATTACTGAATTTAGTATAGAAGTGATGGCTAAGAGTGGTACTAAAGCTGGGGACTCTTCCAGCACACAGCACACATACTGCTTGAGAATCCCCTGCTTAACTCTGACTAACACAGAAATAAGGACAAGTTTCAGAGCTTGGTGCACTGTAGTGCACATGTCCCCCCACTTCCATGTGGGAGTACTATCCCTTAGAAATGTTAGAAAACTAGTGTTTTCTCCCTCTGAAAGGATACTTTCCTGAGAATGGGTTTTCAGTAGGTTCTGGGGTCAGAAAGGCTGGTAAACTAAGCAGGAAGCACCCAGTTCTTTGCTTAACATGGGTGGCTTTTCTCCAGTTGAAGTGCCCAATGTGCAAGTCTTTAAATCATTTACTTGCAATTTTAATGGCAGCAAATGTGGTTTCCCTGTCTCTTTTGTGAACTCTCTCCCCCATCTTTACTTATAGAAAGATCTCCATCGTAGCAGAGATAGATAACTAGTGTCCTCACAGTATTTCACGAATTACTAGGCACTTTTGAGTCTGTATTAGTATATGAGGGCTGCTAAAATTAAATACCACAGACTCCACAACAGAAATGTGTATTGTATTGAATGCTGATAGTGTGTTTGGGTATACAATATAAATAAGCTATGTTCTTTTTTTTTTTCACCCAGTAGCACATGTCAACATATTTAATAATAAGGAGATTCTGCAAGAACTGGAGATATAAATAAAACTTACTTCTTGTAGAGCATAGTGAGTAGATTGGAGGAAGAGGAATTGGCCAAGTTTTCATAAAAAGAAGGACCATGTAATATTGGAAAAAAAAAGCAGCCAAGAAGATGAGGTAAAGACTGAGGACGAATCATACTCAAGGACACTGACACATGGAAGCATGCTATGTGGCTAGGACAAAGTTCAAAGTCATGGCAGGAAGAGAAATGTACAAGGCTTTGATGAAAAATAGGTATAAAAAAGTAGGCTGGCATCAGCTTGTAAAGAACCTTGAACACTGTGAGAATGGATGCAGGTTTTTCCTTGTATGCAATAAAGAAGTAAATTACATGTATACATACATACTCATTTATATATATTATGTATGAACATATATTTACATATAAACATATATTCACATATATTTATCCCAGTAACTCCAGGCAGACTTCAAGTGCCCTTTCTTGCTCATTATAGCAGGTTCAGTCATCTAAATGCCTCTGTAAAAGACATGCTTTATGGAAACCTAACTGATTTTCCTACTGATTTGTTCATCTTTGAAAAGTAACTGGTGGTCTGGATGTTCTAGACCTTGCAAAGCTTTATCATCAATTTGATGGATTCTTTTTGTTTGTTTGTTTTGTTTTTTTGAGACAGGTTTTCTCTGTGTAGTTTTGGTGCCTGTACTGGATCTTGCTCTATAGACCAGGCTGGCCTTGAACTCACAGAGAACTGCCTGGCTCTCCCTCCCAAGTGCTGGGATTAAAGGCATGTGCCACCACCTCCCAGCTTTGATGGATCTTTTAAAAGCAATCCACTTGTGCAATTTGTTAAGGACTGACAACTGGCCAACCAAAGTGTGTTGGGAACAAAACATCCATTGTCTGAGTGAATATAATGTATGTGTAAGTTGATATGTACCCTGTTTTATGATGTGGGTATTCTCTGCATCTCTGGCTCTGTATCTGAATTAAAACAACACTCTCAAATTTTATTTATAGAATAAAGCAAAAACAATTAGAGGTTCATTGAAAAT